ATTATCCTCCCATCTACGTCTAGGTCTCCCCAGCGGTCTCTTCCCCTCAGGCTTCCCAAATAGTGGACCCAACCAACTAGATGGCTTACGGAACCCGAAGGTTCATCACCGAATTAACCAAAGCCCTCCACCGGACCCTGTCCTGGGCCAACAAAATCCAGTCTCCTTCAACTCCTATCTCCCACAGATCCCGCCTGAGATTATCCTCCCATCTACGTCTAGGTCTCCCCAGAGGTCTCTCCCCCTCAGGCTTCCTCCTGCCTGAGATTATCCTCCCATCTACGTCTAGGTCTCCCCAGAGGTCTCTTCCCTTCAGGTTTCCCAACCAGTACCCGGTGCACACCTCTTGTCCCATCCATGCGCGCTACATGCCCAGCCCATCTGATTCTTCTCGACTTAATCGCCCTGACAATATCGGGGGAGGAGTACAGATTTTTAAGTTCGTCATTACGCAGTTTTCTCCAGACCCGGTCGTTTTCTCTCATGTTTACACACTTAAATAATATTTGTTAATGTAGATGTTGTCTACATGAATGTTTCCAAAAATATTGAGTACAGGTAGGACTCGGTTTACGCCGCTTCAATTTTGCGCCTCTCATAGATCACGATTGGAGGGGGTAAGAGTCATGACTCTGCCCGACTTCCTAGACGCAGATGGTCCCGACATTGTAATAAAAAACGATAAATTATGGCCTAAAATTCAGATAATTAAACAAAGAAAGTAATATAAAATGCGACGAGAAAAGGTAAATTATATTAATTGAGGAATTGATACTGTTCTACAGCCATATTATAACTTATTATCAGAAAAGAATAAAACCAAACATTTTTCAATTATTTTGTGTCGATTACTGTAAATCTTGGAAAGGAAACTAATGTATTTGCATATGTTCCCATTATATTTTTTACTTCAATTTACGCCGCTTCATTTTACGCCGGAAATATCAAGAACCTAACCCCGGCGTAAACCGAGTCCTACCTGTATTTGTTATAACTAAATTCTAAATGTCTAAAGTAAAGTTTTGGCAGCGGCCTTTAACGACGTATCACAGAAATGGACAATACACACCTAGAAAGGCAGAGGATACAGGTATCTAGATCACCAAATGCATAAGCAATATCACCAATATCGTAAACACTGACCTGTGATGTAATACGCCCACTCATTGATCTTGTCAAAATTGGGCGATTGCTTGCCGTAGATGTAAAATAGGCGTTGCATGTGGAAAGGCGCCCAGCAAAGGAAGAATGTGATCACCACGGCCACTGAAATACAATCGCCACGTGACTTTCATACAAGACGCAGAAAGGAAGGGCAGTGTTACTATCTTAGCGTTCCTATGGGAAATTATGTGGTACCTAAATACAAGTGAGACTTATTTACTATCATCTCAGCTGCTATTTTTGTATATTAGGCGTAGTAGTTTTTGGTCGGTGGAATTTTCAATGGGGAGGCTAGGAGCGAGTCTCTTGTGCGATAGTATAATGCTGACTGAACGCCCAAACAAAAGAAATACGCTGACCGTGCCACCTCAATTACACAGACTAGGCCCGTCCGCCAGCTCCGCTAGCTTGGAATTTTCAAGGGAAAGGCTAGGAGCGAGTCTCTTGTGCGATAGTATAATGCTGACTGAACGCCCAAACAAAAGAAATACGCTGACCGTGCCACCTCAATTACACAGACTAGGCCCGTCCGCCAGCTCCGCTAGCTTGGAATTTTCAAGGGAAAGGCTAGGAGCGAGTCTCTTGTGCGATAGTATAATGCTGACTGAACGCCCAAACAAAAGAAATGCACTGACCGTGCCACCTCAGGTACACAGACTAGGCCCGTCCGCCAGCTCCGCTAGCTTGGAATTTTCAAGGGAAAGGCTAGGAGCGAGTCTCTTTGAGATAGTATAATGCTGACTGCACGCCCAAACAAAAGAAATACGCTGACCGTGCCACCTCAAGTACACAGACTAGGCCCGTCCGCCAGCTTCTCCACCGGCCAAAAACTACTACGCCGACTATACTACTAACTCTTAGAAAATATTTGGGTTGCGTTTAAATTGATGGATATCTTACGTTACTTTTGAAAAGAGGGCAAATTGTCACCCTGGGACAGATGTGGGTGAAAAAATAAAATAATAATTTCTAGAAATGGGTAAGAAATAACTTAAATATGTCGTTTAAAATGATACTGCATCTTACATTAAATGATACGAATTGTAATTCAACGTTTTTAACGATGCGGTGGGTATCATTTTGTGGAGCATTTAAATGAAACGCAAAATCAGTGCAGTTTGCTAGAAAGACAGGTATAGTTGCAGTTGAGGGGAGTTGTTTGGCGCGAATAATGCTCTGAAGCTCCGAGCGGTACAAACTACAATGAACGCAGGTTACGTTAATGCAAGTGATAAAATTGTGCCATCTGGTGATAAATCGCATGAAACACTAAGCAATGAATGTGCATTCTTCTCCTGCAACTCCCGTGGTGTTTGACTGAGCATTTCTGTGGATTGGAAACTGTACTAAGCAAAATTGATCATCAAATGGTAGACTGTATTTCGGTGGATAAAAATTGGTTGAATCCGTGTTTGTGTATTGTGCATATATAGCAGGGAAAAAGAATTCTAAACTTGTTTGTCAGAGGGAAAATGAATGTTTAAGGAAAATATATTATTTTTGGTACCATCGGGTTGGAGCCGACCCCTGGTGACATTATGAACAAGTTCCCTCTGATAGGGACCTGTTCATATACGTTCTTGGCAGATGATCCAGAAGTGGTTTGCCATTGCCTTCTTCTGTGTGTGAATGGAGTAATTGTTGGGATGCCACGGAGGAATTATTTTGTGTTCTGTCTGACGACAGGTCCATATGAACAGTATCCTTCCATCCTTTTCTCGGACTGGGACTTGTTCATATACGTTCTTGGCAGATGATCCAGCAGTGGTTTGCCATTGCCTTCTTCTGTGTGTGAATGGGGTAATTGTTGGGATGCCACGGAGGAAAACTCCGTGTTGCCTAGACCACGGCCTTGCCCAACACAAGTTATAAATTCGGGCACCGCCGGGAATCGAACCCGAGACCCCAGGATTACAAGGCCAGCGTTCTGACCGCAATATTTTCATAATATGAATTTAATGATTATGGAAAATGTAAAATAAATTTAATATTCCTTTCAATTGAAAATAATCTTGCAGACTGAAAGTTTGAGGAATGGTTCAAATGTTTTATATGTATTTAATTCATTTTCGTATTTGGGGTTTGATAAAGATAAAATGTTTTATCGTAACACATGTACAGCAGCAGGGAATATATGGATTTAAAAGCCTGGTAATTTAAAGGTTATGTGTACTGAGAAACAGGGACAATTTGTAGAAATGTGATTCAGCACAAATACATTATAAATAAAAATAATAATCGCAGACACATTTTGAATTATTTTAATAGTAACGAAAGGAAATCATCGCTGTCACACATGAATGTTGCTGTTACACGTCAACCATTCTCGACGTTATTAATAATAAAGAGTACTGCATGAAACACGTAGAAATCCAAGCTTGTCTGATGATTGAAGTTCAGTTAAAAATCAAATTTAATAAAGCCTTTTTCAGGCAATATTTGATAAGGATTTGGCATATGGAGTTCGTACAATACTTTTTAAAAATCGCCCAATTATAAATTATTGAATACTGTATCACAGATTTAATTTATCATATCATTGGGATGATAATTTTTAGATTTTTATTTCACATAATTATTAAATTCTTAGCGGTATACCATGTTTATTATTAAAGACGTCTTTAATTTTTACATCTGAAACAATGTCAGCGTATTTTATGTGAGTGAGCGGAATGCGGACAAGTATGACGTTCCTTTTTGTAAAATTCTTTTCCTCAGTTCGTGTTTTACCAAGCATCCTAATGATGGGTTTAGTACGAGAGTCCAGGTGTTTGGTTTCGCCTGGAAACTTGATCATTCGACTGCGAATTGTGACTCCCATCCGGACGTACAGAATGATGATTATGACCATGGGACTTATGAAAAAGATTAATGCACTCAGTTCATACATGGGCCAGTGAGATGGTACAGCTTGGTCCAACATAGCACAGAATGCGGATTCTGCTACCTGGTATGAGGAACCTGTGAACATAACCACACTTTAAACAAGAAACTCAAAATATTTTTCAGTTTTATTTACCCACAGACATGAGAAATGCGATGAAGAATCTTACTTAGTCGAATAATACTTTAATAAAACAGTCTATGAATATAATGCTGTAATTTCTATACATTTACAACATTATATGTGTGAGGGCACGTGCGTGCGTCTTGAAGTTCCTTTAGGAAATTGTTTCTCTAAGTTATGTAAGCGTAAGTTTGGTCCTAACCTGTCAATTCTTCAGAATTTAATTAGACCAAAACCAAAACTGAGCCTATAATATTGTATAAACAGCATATAATCTCGATCCAGTGGCCATACATTTAATAGTTCAGTACTTAACGGAAAGCAAGCTCAATACTTCCTAATTACGAATTTAAGTTTGTTGAAAATTGAGAATTAAAAAGAGATGAAGGCTTCTAGAATGTCGTTCTAGTGGGACAGATGTCTCCCGCGACGCATCAAAGTTTTAATTAAGCAGATAAATAATTATATTTTCTGCATCGGAAAAATATGACAACAGATTGGTCCATAAAACTACATATAATTCAAAAATGGTAGATCAGCTTGTGATAGTTTTATATTGACAACAGAATCAACACATAACTTAAGATTTTCGACGAGCAATAGTCTTTTGTGGTTAGAAACGAAAGGTGCATTCAATCGATAATCGATTTTGGGTAGCATTGTTTTTAGATTATCGATATACATCGAATTGCCAGTTGTGTTAACTTATATTTGAAATGCAGTTAACCAGGAAAATGATATTCATGAGGAAGTTAGGAGGAGAATAAATTCTGGAAATGCTTGCTACTTCTCAGTTCAAAATATTAACTTAATGAACAACGTCACCACAAACGCTACCTCCGAGGAGAGGGTAACCACGTTCGTGCAGTAGAGAGTTCAAGTCACGTAAATGGAGGAAGTAAATTGGAGCCTAAATATTCATTAAGGACACTTATTCCGAGGTAAGGAAAGTGGATTAGGATAGGTAGCAAGCAGGCTTTGTGGTGATAATGTAGCTTTGGGTTTCATAGAAGCGATGTATGCTATCAACAGGTTAACGATTGCTGGAGAAATGCCATTATACAGGGTGTTTCGCTAGCGAGAGCTGCCTCGGCGGGGAGAGTCGAACGCTCCTCCCGCCAAGTCGGCCGACCCTCCCGCCAAGTCAGTCGATCCTCGACGCCCAAGACCGACCGCCTCTCGGAAGCGCTGTCTATATAATCCACTGCTTAGCTGACAGGGATGATTTACAGACCTGGGGGGTATTCCACGTAGTTGATCCGGGTGTAGACTGCGAAGGGCGTGGCGCTTAGTAGAGACACGCACCACAGAATGGCGATGACCCGTAGAGCGGTCCTGGGGCTGGACGTGGTGTATGAGTGGATGGGCTGGCAGATGGCAAGGTAGCGCTCCGTGGAAAATGCCACGATGGTCAGAACTGACGTGTAGGTTGACCTATAACACGTGTTGCTTACTTTTTTTTTGTAGTGTTCTGTCTGACGACAGGTCCATATATTATGAACAGGATCCTTCCAACCTCTTCAGGTTGTCAGGGACCTGCTCATACATATATACATTCTTGGCAGAGATGATCAGAAGTGGTTTGCCATTGCCTTCTTCTGTGTGTGAATGGAGTAATTGTTGGGATGCCACGGAGAAACTGGGGAAGCCCCCGGAGGAAAACTCCGTGATGCCTAGACCACGGCCTTACCCAACACAAGTTATAAATTTGAGCACCACCGGGAATTGAACCCGGGACCCCAAGCTTACAAGGCTAGTGTTCTGACCACTAGACCACCGTGGACGTGTTGCTATACGAGTATAATTTAATATTAAATTATTTTACAACGAATTTCCGTCGAAATATGTAGCCGAATGAAATATCCCTTGATAGAGCAAGAATCACTGTAGCTTCTTCGGAGTGTGGCAGATGATATAAAATTATAAAAGACCGACAAACAAGTGTTAGACTAGTCTACCGCGTAAAAGTTACTGAATAAATCCGAAAATTACAACTGGATAATAATTCAATTTGATGACTAACAGATTAATTAATATTTAAAATCATAACCCGAATATGAAGGTTCGCGAAATAATTGGAATTTTAAATATATTGTTTAAATCTTGTCCGTCTAATCACAATAAATTCTTATTAAATATTAAAATATTACAATAATTAAGATTTAAAATATTTAAAATATTAAATGATGTTCTTTATCGAAATATTCGATGGTCTAATGTAAATCGAATATTTCGATAAAGAACATCATTTAATATTTTAAATATTTTAAATGTTAATTATTGTAATATTTTAATATTTAATAAGAATTTATTGTGATTAGACGGACAAGATTTAAACAATATATATTTATTATATCACAATATGACGCAACTTTACCATCTCATGGAATTTTAAAGATTTGCGTTTCGCTGTTTTTAAGCGACGTGTGGCGATCGGGTTCCGTTTCCTTCGTAGGTTACGGCTTCTTTTTCTCAGGGCATTCAAAACATAAAGAAGTTCTAATAATTAATTTAATAAAAGTTAAGTATCGAGTCAGTAATTAATTAATTTCTCTGCTGAGTTTTCCGCTGTACAATTAACAAACACGTGGAGCTAGTAACATCAGGAGGGAGTACTGATAATATTCATGCAGAACGAGTGATATAACCAATCAAGTTGATGATATCGTAATCACAAATTTTCTTTGGTTTAATAAAAGTATTTATTTGCTAGATATTCTAAGATACATGTCGAATAATCAAGCCTATGATAAACTTTCTAGCAAGAAGGACAGTTAATAAATATGAGAATTTATTAATTTTCTTAGCAGTAACACTGCAAGTACTCTGTTGGTTCATTAATATGATTCACACAGTCATAATTTATGTTAAAATAATTGTTTCTCACCCAACTAATCACGTCAACAAGCAATTTACAAACACTTTGAAAAAATTTATCTGCTTGAAAAATTGCTGTCTTCTGGTTTGTAGTCTGGTAAAAGACGAGAATGGTTCTCGAAATGCTGGTGTTTTCTCCATTAAAACACTTTACACGTCTCGTAGCCCGAGAAAAATTAATTACGAAGAAACAGGAACACGACGGAGGTGGTAATTGTTGACTCATGAAGGCAGGCACGCACAGACGCAAACATGGCCTCTCACGAGTGAATGGGTCACAAATTAGGTTATGTCTTAAAATAGTGTGACTTACATCTCGGACCCTAGAGCTCGCAGCTTGCACAGGGTCTCACCCAGGACCCATGGATATTGTTGCCAGTACACGCCCAAGTCGTACGGCAAACCTGCAAACAAAGGGAACAGGAACTTGGATTAAACCCTGCTGTTCTATATCCACAAAATGATTTAGTTTTAATGTACGTAATTTCTCAGTTCTCAGAGATAAAGAAGTACATCTCTGTGTTTGAAAAAGTAACACGCCATAAGAGGCGTGGAAGCAACAGCGTAAACTAGGAGCGTGATCAGCTACCCTAACCTAACCTATACAAACCCAAGATAACCTAACCTAACCTAAACCAACCCAAAATAACCTAACCTAACCTAAACTAACCCAAAATAACCTAACCTAACCTAAACTAACCCAAAATAACCTAACCTAACCTAAACTAACCCAAAATAACCTAACCTAACCTAAACTAACCCAAAATAACCTAACCTAACCTAAACTAACCCAAAATAACCTAACCTAACCTAAACTAACCCAAAATAACCTAACCTAACCTAAACTAACCCAAAATAACCTAACCTAACCTAAACTAACCCAAAATAACCTAACCTAACCTAAACTAACCCAAAATAACCTAACCTAACCTAAACTAACCCAAAATAACCTAACCTAACCTAAACTAACCCAAAATAACCTAACCTAACCTAAACTAACCCAAAATAACCTAACCTAACCTAAACTAACCCAAAATAACCTAACCTAACCTAAACTAACCCAAAATAACCTAACCTAACCTAAACTAACCCAAAATAACCTAACCTAACCTAAACTAACCCAAAATAACCTAACCTAACCTAAACTAACCCAAAATAACCTAACCTAACCTAAACTAACCCAAAATAACCTAACCTAACCTAAACTAACCCAAAATAACCTAACCTAACCTAAACTAACCCAAAATAACCTAACCTAACCTAAACTAACCCAAAATAACCTAACCTAACCTAAACTAACCCAAAATAACCTAACCTAACCTAAACTAACCCAAAATAACCTAACCTAACCTAAACTAACCCAAAATAACCTAACCTAACCTAAACTAACCCAAAATAACCTAACCTAACCTAAACTAACCCAAAATAACCTAACCTAACCTAAACTAACCCAAAATAACCTAACCTAACCTAAACTAACCCAAAATAACCTAACCTAACCTAAACTAACCCAAAATAACCTAACCTAACCTAAACTAACCCAAAATAACCTAACCTAACCTAAACTAACCCAAAATAACCTAACCTAACCTAAACTAACCCAAAATAACCTAACCTAACCTAAACTAACCCAAAATAACCTAACCTAACCTAAACTAACCCAAAATAACCTAACCTAACCTAAACTAACCCAAAATAACCTAACCTAACCTAAACTAACCCAAAATAACCTAACCTAACCTAAACTAACCCAAAATAACCTAACCTAACCTAAACTAACCCAAAATAACCTAACCTAACCTAAACTAACCCAAAATAACCTAACCTAACCTAAACTAACCCAAAATAACCTAACCTAACCTAAACTAACCCAAAATAACCTAACCTAACCTAAACTAACCCAAAATAACCTAACCTAGACGGAATTAACTGTAAACCTCCTATGTCACTTATTAATTTTATACGAAATCAGAAAGAATTACCACAGCAGTGGACAGACCAATCTAGAGGACATAATCATCTTGTAACGGCAGATAATAAATCCATTGAAAAATAAGGAAGAGTTGAAGTATTTGAGAAAAAAAGCGTAAAGAAATCAGAATTGCATTTACGAAGACATTGCACGCAATATGAATACACGGAATGCTTGTTTCATTATCTTTCCTATTCGTGTCCGCTGTCTAGAGACGTAAATACGAAGATATACACAATTATAATTTCATTTTCTCTTCTGTAGGGCCGTAAAAATCTTTTCTCTCACATCGAGTGGAAAAATGAGGACTGAGGGGTTTAAAGAAGAGGATTGCCAATAGTTTGTACGTACCGATGGATATTATTATGATAATTTCATCAAGAAGGATGGGATTGGTGGATCATGCAGCGCGCATGGGAAAGATGAATAATGCGTACAAAATTTTTGTGTAGAAGTCAATGAACCTTCCGGTTTCCATGACTAAGGTAAGGTACCTTATCTCAGGAGTTAGTTGTTATGACTAACACATGGGCGTATACGACACAAAATTAAAATGAATCTCTTGGATTAATTCTGTATGCATGGTGAAAAGAGCAAATACTATTTGAAAGTGATTATAATTTGACATAATCTAATATTACAGGCATCAAATTATGTTTAAAAATTCAACGCTACGCTAAAATTCTAAGGCGATAAATTAAATTATTGTTGTTTAATTTTAACCGTCTAATCACAATAAAATATTTTATAAAATATTAAAATATTATTACTACAATTAACATTCAATATTTAAAATATATTAAAATGATGCTCTTTCTATCGAAATGTTCGATTTACAATTAGAGCATCATCTTTTTCACGACATGTTTCGGTTTCCAATGAACCATCTTCAGGTGTATAATCGATATAAATTCAAATGTAATATTCTAAATGCAATCCTTCGTCAGATGTCCATTAAATATCAGTTATCCTCTTCTAGATCAATTGTACTTTGTTATCACATTCAATGTTGTTTCGTAAATATATGTCGCGTACTCTTCATATCTGATCGAAAATATTTTATTGTGATTAGACGGTTAAAATTAAACAATTATAATCATCACAATATGACGCAACATTATCATCTCATTAAATTATTGTGTTATGTGTTGCATATTTTAGAAAATAAATTGGAATATGACAATTATGAACTTATTTTGTTTTACAATGTATTCGAAAATGTAATATTAATTTGCTGACGTACGGAAGAATTTCAAATTTCAGTTAAAAAATAATTCATTAGTTGCCTTCATATACAATCCTTGTTCTGACCTGTATTCTAGTGAGAAACAGAGAAAGTCTTTTTCTAATTTGTTTTACGAGAAATTGAAACCTTTACCACTCCACAAAGTAATGAAAGTGTATTTATAACATCCAGTAGTCGCTCCGATGTGTCAGGTTGAAGAGTGGGCTTAACTGTCAGTCATCCGTTTTCAACAGAATCTAATTCTGATTTACGATTAAATTCGTACAATACTTGCTACCATTCAGTTCAGACCTGCCTCCTGTCTAGAATTTATGGATGAAAACATAATAAATGTAATTTTCCTCTTATGTTTATGAGTGTTGAATCTCCGTATTTTACAACAAGAGAAGAACACAAGTTACAATTTCTCTGTGGAGAATAATGCTGCTACGTATCAGCGTTAATGCTTAAATATTACAGACTGCAAAGTATCTTGTATAAAATGGCTGATATCGATTATACACGGAGACTGATTATAAATAAACTACGCATTTATAAGGTGATATTGTTGCGTCATATTGCGATGATTATAATTGTTTATTTTAACCGTCTAATCACAATAAAATGTTTTATTAAATATTAAAATATATTAAATTATAGTAATAATATTTTAATATTTTAAGTGAAAATGATGATGCTCTAATTGAATTACATTTGAATTTATATCGATTATACACCTGAAGATGGTTCATTGAAAACCGAAACATGAAGTGAAAATGATGATGCTCTAATTGAAAATCAAACATTTCGATGGAAAGAGCATCATTTTAATATATATTTTAATATATTTTAAATATTTTAAATATTAAATGTTAATTATAGTAATAATATTTTAATATGTAAAGTGAAAATGATGATGCTCTAATTGAAAATCAAACATTTCGATGGAAAGAGCATCATTTTAATATATATTTTAATATATTTTAAATATTTTAAATATTAAATGTTAATTATAGTAATAACATTTTAATATTTTAAGTGAAAATGATGCTCTAATTGAAAATCGAACATTTCGATAGAAATAGCATCATTTTAATATATATTTTAAATATTTTAAATATTAAATGTTATTTATAGTAATAATTTAATATATAATAAAACATTTTATTGTGATTAGACGTTTAAAATAAACAATTACGAATTTATAGCCAAAGGCATTCAAATGAAATGAAGCTTGGTATCCCTTATTGATCTTATATTATTAATAACATAAGTCCATTGTTCTGAAAGTTAAATATACGAGTGAATCAAAAATAAAGATAGCATTTGAAAAAATAAACTTCCGTTTAAATCCAGAACACGAAGAAAATTAAGCTGGAAGAACATAAGTTATCATTCCGCTGTCAGGTTAAATACATAAGGAAATCTAGAGATGCTGATATTTACCTCAGTTCCCCTAATAACTTACTGGATTAACCAGGCTCATCGCCTAGCCTACTCCTGCACCCGCCGAACTTCTCTGTCGTGAAAGTCATAGATGTCACAGGGGCATAGTCAAAATGTATGTTCGGAATTTGGAGATAAAACCAACAACACGAGAAGTTTGAAATTCTTTAACTTGCGCAAGCAAAGTCGGTCTTATAATTTCGACGCTTCTGTAAAGGTCGGCAACTGAAAACACAGTTTATTAGGTCTTAAATTCCGTAAAACTAATCCACAAATTCAATGCAGCTAACTGGCGATTATATTATTCAGAAAGGATCACTCCTCCTTGTCTCTAGAGACCTCAGCATAAACGGTCGGCCAATTACAAAGTTTTAGAAGCTCTGTGCACTAGTAACTAACGAGTTAGACCACAATTAACGAACACTCAGCTCAGAGTACAACTTTCTAGAGCGTTCGTGGCACGTTGCTCAACAAGGCATTTTTCATTATTATATTGCGTCTGTCTCGTGGTACACGTATTTAAACCCATAAGTTTTGTCTCGAGTAAAACACCTTGAAATTTATAACTTACGTAATTTAAAGAACAATGCGAAGAAAATCTTAAAGTTTTATAAATTACAAAAGTTTCCTACACCTACGCTGCTTTGAAAGGATTTATTTACTGTAAAGTAGGCACTCTTAATGACATATACAATGAACATAAGAAAAAAGGTACGAGGTGCGATCGGAAAGTTTCAAGACTGTGTCAATAGAGGGCGAACCGGATGTAGTACGAGCTTCTGCCGCTAGGGGGTGCGGCCTACATTCATAGTGAATCAGTGTGCCAGCCGGCATCATCGAATTAGCATTTGTTTCTTAGTTACGGGCGTTTTGGTAGTGCATTACACCGACCCTCCTGCGATTTCGGAATGGCGTGTGCATCAAATGTTGCCAAAG